TATGCACCCAAACCCAATCTTTAGGTTCAAACACAACTTTCTTGCGCCCTTTGTTGGCTTGATTTGCATATTGCTCAATTCGTTGCTCTATGTTTTGTCACACTCTCTCATGTAGTTGCTTAACCACTTCAACTTTCTTTTTCCCATCCAAACTAGCTCGTTCATCAATGGGTAATGGCAATAAATCCAAAAGGGTGAGTGGATTAAAACCATACACAACTTCAAATGGTGAACAGTTAGTTGCTGAATGGATGCTCTGATCATAAGCAAATTCAACTTACGGCAAACATTCTTCTCAATTCTTAAAGTTTTTTTGAATAACAAAATGCAATAAGCTGACAACGTCCTATTAACCACTTTTGTTTGTCCATCAATTTGTGGATGACAAGTAGTCGAAAACAATAGTTTAGTTCTCAACTTTCCCCACAAGGTCTTCCAAAAGTAAGTCAAAAACTTAATATCGCAATCAGAAACAGTAATCCTTGGAACACCATGTAAACGAACAACCTCCTTGAAGAACAGATCAGCAATATTGGTTGCATTGTCAGTTTTATGACATGGAACGAAGTGTGCCATCTTTGAGAACCTATCAACAACCAAAATAGAATCGCGGCCTCTTTTCGACCTTGGTAAGCCCAGAACAAAATCCATAGATATATCAACCCAAGGTTCAATAGGTATGGGTAAGGGAGTATACAAACCATGTGTCAAAACTCTAAATTTTGCTTGTTTACATGTTACGCACCTTTTCACACATCCTTTCAACATCGCGTTTCATATGTGGCCAAAAGAAGTGATCATTTAGAATATCTAAAGTTTTCCTAACTCCAAAATGTCCCATTAAGCCACCCACATGTGATTCTCTTATTAACAATTCTCTTAATGAATAGTTAGGCACACATAATCAATTTTCTCTAAATAAGAACCCATCATGCCTATAAAACTTATCAAAAGCTACCTTCTCACATGCATTAAACACGTTAGCAAAATCTAGATCATTAGCATATAATTCTTTAATGTGCTCAAATCCCAATAACTTTGCACTTAGAGTAGAGATAAGTGTGTACTTGCGAGATAACACATCATCCACAATGCTTTCTTTTCCTTGCTTGTACTTGATCACATAGGGAAATGTCTCAAGGAATTCCACCCACTTAGCATGTCATCTATTCAACTTACCTTGTCCCTTGAGGTGCTTCAACGACTCATGATCAATATGTATCATGAACTCCTTAGTCCAAAGATAATGTTGCCACGTTTCTAAGGTCCTTACCAATGCATACATCTCTTTGTCATATGTAGGATAGTTAAGTGTTGCACCAGTCAATTTTTCACCGAAAAACGCAATAGGCAGCCGTTCTTACATTAAAACAGCGCCAATGCCAATACCTGATGCTTCACATTCAATTTCAAAAGTTTTAGTAAAATCAGGTAAAGCAAGTAATGGTGTAGAAATCAAATTCTCCGTAATCAAATTGAAAGCATTCTCATGTTCACTTTCCCACTTAAATCTGACACTTTTTTTCATGATTTCTGTCAACGAAGCTGCAATTATGCTGAAGTACTTGATGAATCTCCAGTAGAAACTTGCTAAATCATGAAAACTCCGCACCTTAGAAATATTCTTAGGTCTTGGCCATTCTTTAATAGCCTGATGGGAATCCAGATGACCCCACATGTACCACGTTAAGAAATTCATTACACATTCCAAGAGGTCCAGTCATGAGAGCTAGAACTAGGAAGATGCAAGAAGTTTTAAATGGCCTTATTGAGCAGATCTGGGTTGATAACAACATGCAACAAGTAAATCAAAGCTTGGATGATTATCAAGGCATGGTAAATATCATTCAGATTCAAGAGAAGCTTGATTGAGGTCATTTATGCTAAATTACACAGTTTGTGTCAAAATCTCACAATTCTATCGCAATTTGTAACAAACTAATATTTCATGTTACTTTAGGTTACTTTCAGTGATTTTCATGTTTTTTGTATTATTTTGGATTGAACATTCATTTATTTGAGGCCCAATTCATTGTTATTAGGATTAAGGCTTAGTGTGTTAGTTTTATATTCTGATTAGAATTACTTTTCCCTATTTAAAGGGCTTGTAACCCTAATTGGGGGGGGGGGGCTACTGAATCTGAGTTTTTGAGACTTTTCTCCTTGGTTCGTTTTAGAACTTTACAGAATTTATCAAGATTATTCTTGTAGCGTTCTAACCTAATTTATCATTCTCGTTCTTAATTGTTTAAGGGTGTGGCATCAACCAACTTTATACCTTTGGTTCTTGTTGCGTCATAGACAACGAGTCAAGGTTTTTACCTTTGGTTCTCATGGCGACATAAACAACGAGTCAAGGTCCTATTATAAACCTGATTTGGCTTTCTTGGAGTTTAGAAATCCCTTGTCGTGCTGTGGGTCTCATTGTTCTCTTTGGGGTTCTCATCATAGCCTTAGTCTTTTCTTCGTCTACTGCAATTCCATCAGCTGAAACAACATACCCTAAAAAGACAATTTGATTTGTGCAAAAGGAACACTTTTAAGGTTAGCAAACAACTTTTCTTTTTTCAAAACCTCTAATACCATTCGTAGATGCTCAATATGATTAGTTAAACTTTTACTATATCTCATAATGTCATCAAAATAAACAACCACAAATTTGCCAATGAAAGCATGCAAAACATGATTCATTAATTACATGAATGTACTAGGTGCATTAGTTAATCCAAATGGCATAAATAACCACTCGTATAAACCATGTTTCGTTTTAAAGGTTGTTTTCCAAAACCTCTAATACCATTCATAGATGCTCAATATGATCAGTTAAACTCTTACTATATCTCATAATGTCATCAAAATAAACAACCACAAATTTGCCAATGAAAGCATGCAAAACATGATTCATTAATTGCATGAATGTACTAGGTGCATTAGTTAATCCAAATGGCATAACTAACTACTCATATAAACCATGTTTCGTTTTAAAGGCTGTTTTCCATTCATCACCTTCCTTCATCTTAATCTGATGATACTCACTTTTTAAATCAATTTTAGTGAATATGCAAGAACCATACAGTTCATCTAACGTGTCATCTAATCTAGGAATATGGTGACGATACTTTACAATGATTTTGTTGACAATGTGACAATCAATGCACATATGCCAAGTCCCATCCTTCTTAAGCACAAGTAGCACTGGAACTACACATGGACTCATGCTTTCTTTCACATGCCCCTTCTTCATAAGTTCTTCAACTTGCTTTTGAAGTTCTTTCGTCTCATTGGGGTTGCTTCGATATGCTCGTTGGTTTGGAATTATTGCACCTGGAATGTAGTCAATCTGATGCTCAATTCCTCGTATTTGTGGTAAACCATTAGAAATGTCTTCTGGAAGCACGTCTTTGAAGTCCTGCAAAAGAGATTCAACAACACTATGCAAAGAATTATTAAGTTCGTTAGTGTTGAAATAAGCATCTTTATATAAAAGCACAAACATAGGCTGCTTTGCAAAGAACGCAATCTTGACATCGCTTTCTTTTGCATAAACACTCACTGATTTTCTTTCTTTGTTTTCAACACTCTCAATCTTTTCTCTCTTTTGGACTCTTTTGCTGTTGTTTTCTCTTTGTTTTTCATGCCCTCAAGCTCACTCTCATTTCTCAGCTCACTCTCTTTTTTTACTCTCAGTTGATCCTCATAAACCTGCCTTGGACTCAATGGTGCAAGAGTAATTGTTTCCCCCTCTATGACAAATGAATAGTGATTTTTGAAGCCATCATGTGTTACCCACCTATCATATTGCCATGGTCTCCCTAAAAGTAAATGTCCAGCATGCATAGGAACCACGTCACAAAGTACCTCGTCCTTATATCGTCCAATAGAAAATGAAATTAGAATTTGCTTATTTACCTTGATTTCTCCATAATCATTTAACCATTGCAGGTTATATGGCCTTGGATGCTTCGTCATAGGTAAATTAAGCTTTTCAACCAAAATAGTGCTAGCTACATTAGTACAACTACCACCATCAATAATCACACTACATACCTTGTTTTTGACATGGCACCTCGTGTGAAATATATTGTCACATTGTACTTTATCATCTTCTTTGGCTTGCACATTCAAAGCTCGCCTGGTGATGAGGAGTTCTCCATCAACGGCATATTCCACACCATCATTAGCATCTTCTAATGGTGGCATAGATTCATCATCAAATTCACCCTCGGTTTCAATTTCTCCATCTTCTCTCAAGATCATCGTGTGCATAAAGGACATTGCGATGCAACATGCCCCTTTCCCAAGCATCGAAAACACTCGATGTCTTGGTTTCTGCCTTGCGTATTATCTGTTTTACTCTTCTCATTGCTACCAACTTCTTTTGACTTAGATGTTGTAGTTTTAGGCTTAAAAGCATAATTTTCTTCCTTTTTGCTCCAATTTAGTTTCCAAGAAGATGAGGAACCTGAATTTTGCTCAATTCTAGTGGTGGTTCTTTTACGTTTGAGTTGCCGTTCTACTTTCATAGCCATATGCACCATATCTTCCAATTCCACATAATGCTACAGCTCCTCCACATTAGCTATATCACAATTTAAGCCATGCAGAAACTGATGGGAATCAAGACGACAACCTATCGACTATGTCATGTGATCCATTACACACCCAAGGAGGACCAGTCACGCGAGCTAGAGCTAAGAAGATGCGTGAAGCTTTAAATAGCCTTATTGAGCAAATTTGGGTTGAAAACAACATACAACAAGTAAATCGAAACTTGGACGATTATCAAGGCATGGTAAACATCATTTAGTTTCAAGAGAAGCTTAGTTGAGGTCATTTGCATGGAATTACACAGTTTGCTTCAAAATCACACAATTTTGCCGCAATTTGTAGTAAACTGATATTTCATGTTATTTTAGGTCATTTTTAGTGATTTTCACGTTTTTTGTATTATTTTTGGGTTGAACATTCACTTATTTGAAGCCCAATTCGTGGTTATTAGGTTTAGGACTTAGGGTTTTAGTTTCCTATTCTGATTAGGATTTGTTTTCTCTATTTAAAAGGCTTGGGTTAAATCCCCATTTTCGTCCTCGAACTATTGTACGGATGCTCGATTTAATCCTTGAACTAAAGAAATCCCTGATTTGGTCCCTAAACTATTGTATGGACCCCCGATTTGGTCCCCACTATTTATAATTTGGCCTAAGTTGGTCCTTGAACTATTGTATGAACCCCCAATTTGGTCCTTACTGTTCACAATTTCGCCCCAGTTTGGTCCCTGAGCTATTATTTAACAGAAGGACCAAGTTGGGGATAAATTGGTAAACACTAGGGACCAAATTGGGGATCCGTATAATAGTTTAGGGACTAACTCGGTGGTTTGTACAATAGTTTAGGGACCAACTCAAGGGTCCGTACAATAGTTCAAGGACCAAATTAGGGATTTCTTTAGTTTAGGGACCAAATCAGGGGTCCGTACAATAGTTCAGGGACCAAAATAGGGGTTTAACCAAAAGGCTTGTAACCCTAATGGGGAGGAGCGATTGAATTTGACTTTTTGAGAGACTTTTCTCTTTGGTTTGTTTCAGAACTTTATAGAACTTATTAAGATTATTCTTGTGACGTTCTAACATGACTTATCATTCTCGTTCTTAATCGTTCGAGGGTGTGGCATCAACCAACTTTATACCTCTGGTTCTTGTTGCGTCATAGACAACGGGTCAAGGTTTTTACCTTTGGTTCTTGTTGCGACATAAACAACGGCTCAAGGTCCTACTATAAACCTGATTTGGCTTTCCTGGAGTTTAGAAACCCCTTGTCATGCTGTGGGTCTCATTGTTCTCTTTAGGGTTCTCATAAGAAACTGTGCCATAGTTGCTTCTCTATCCTCTTCCACATTTGCTCTAACCATTGCGATTTCCATCTCTTTGCGATAATCCTCAATGCTTTTAGACCCTTAAGTAAGGCCCTACAATCGTTGATAGAGATCACAGTAGTAGTGACTAGGAACAAATCATTTTCTCATCGCAACTTTCATCTCCTCCCAAGTGTCAACAAGACGTTCTCAATTTCTAAATCGACTAAGCACAAACTAATCCCACCACACCATAGCGTAATCAATAAATTCCACCGCTGCTAGTTTCACCTTTTTCTCCTCATAATAGTTATGACAATCAAACACAAATTCCACCTTCTTTTCCCACTCCAAATGCACATCTAGATAATTTTTGCCTTGAAATGGAGGAATTTTTATCTTGATGCTCCCTAAGTCACGATCTTTGCTGATCTCCCTACCTCGTCAGATTTTGCTTTCCTCGATTAAACTTACCTTTTTGATCCCCTCTACCTATCGTAAATCTATCCATGCTGAAATTTAAGTTCTGGGCATCATTGTTGAATGCATCTTCATAATCATCATTGAGATCATCATTAGCATCATTCCTATGCAAATTCAGACTTCTATTCTATATTTGGTATAAATTGGCTATAGCTGCATCTTGCTTTTCCATTTTGTCTCTAATCTCACCAAACATGACTTCCAGCTTCTAAAACTGTTGTTGCATTGCTTTGAGCATGAGAGATTCATCCACATGGTGTCTTTTAGTGGTTGATTTGTC